CTGCTCCTGGTCTCCACCCCCAGGCTGCACGGCGGCTGCGGCGGGTACCTAGGCCACTGCCAGCAGCAGGTCGCCGCTTTCTTCGGGGAGTAAGTGCCCGAGGCCGGCTCTGCAGCCCGCCGCCCTTGCTCCTGAGGGCTCCTAGGCCAGGGCCGGGCGGGTCTGGCTGCGCCTCCAAGGAGCCGGGGCCTGAGCAAGAGCCGCGCTCCTGCCCCGCTGCTGCCTTGGTGCCGGCCCCCAGCAGTGCTGCGGAGGCCCCTCCAGCTTCAGGGATCAGGCAGCCCCCGGGGGAGAGAGAGCAGGGAAAGGCAACAACTCTTCTGAGGAATAAAACGCAGGGGGGAGGAGGGTTGCAGCACTAAAGGCCTTTAAAAGCCTCCTGTTACTTAGCCAGAGCACTGCTTCCCTTCCACCTGAGAAGCCACAGTGTCCGCTCCCCAGCCTGGGCCTGTATCTGCTCTGCCAGTGCTTGTTCATTAGGCCAGCTGGGCTGCTGGGGAAGGGCAGGGCAGGGCATCCAGCAGGCTCCTGGATCAGTTGTACTTAAGCCCCCACAAAGGGAAGAGTTGGCAGAGCCCAGACTTGAGTCCCCACCGTCATGTTTTCCAGAAAAGTCAAGAGGATCTTGTTCATTCCATACGCGCTTCATGACCAAGATGCCTACGCCAAGACTGTGAGAGAGAAATTTGAAAGTTTGGGTAAGACGACAGACTGGTTATACAGCCCTTTGAACGACGTAATAAAAGTGGTGTGACGTTAAAATATTTTCTGTGAGCTTTTAGCCAGGTGGAGTTTCTCTGATAAAGAAAACAGGCGTGCTCTTTCACCTGTCCAAAATTTAGGATTGTGAGACCGGTGCGTGACTTGTATATCCATGCCATAACCAGCACGCAACACCTAGTCAAACCACCTTTTCATTGCTTTCTGTATATATACAAGCTTCCCAGGATCTTCATGCAGTTGGGTGGGGGTATTTTTGCACGTCTCCCTCGCAGAGTTCTGCTTATTCTGTTACAATATTTTCATTAGATCGTAATTAAGCTGCCATCAGCAGAAATATAGGAATTGTTAGACCGCTTCTCTGGTGGGTAGCTTTGTTTCTAGGTAGCACTTCAGAGAATGAGGCAACAAATCAAGTAATGGATGGTTTAATGGGTTAGCCTTTACATATTAGGAATAATCTCTCTTTGTATCCGAATCTTTCATACCCTGTCTAATCATATAATGGATATTTTCACACACTTATTTAAAACTCTTTAAAAAGATTTACTACTGAGGTAATAGAACAAAAGACTGAATTATCAAGCTATTCCTCATGAAGGTAGAGGTGTCCTGTTTACAGGCCACTGTGGCCCATTGGCAATGGAGGCAGGGCTCCACTGTTTCTTTACACTTGAAACAAGGAAGAGGTGATGTGGTCATCACCATGCTCCAGTCTCTCTCATACTACGTACGGTATTGTTTGCTGAATGTACTACAGTACTAGAAAAGCAGAGATCTTCTTCAACTGTCAACAGTGATGCCCTCTGCATAATGTCCTGGTTGGTTCCAGATAACTTAAAACTCAGCAATATAATATGAGTAATTCAGTTATTCATTCCAATGTGAGTTTGCTTAGTAACACAAGTTATTCCTTATCCACCGTTTGTCTCCAGTGAATAGCATCGGTCAGGGCAGTGCCCAGTCTTCTGGGGTCCTCTAACATTCTTCTACACTTTTTCCCTAGCCCTGCCTAACCTCGACAGCTTTGTCTAGCCATCTTCAAACTGCGCTACCTTTGTCTTAATCACCTTTTGATCACTTGCTAACATGCACCACCATTCCTGTAGCAATCCTGAAATGTCCCATGTGAGCCATTTGCCACAATGAAAATCATCCCCTCTTTGATCTCCTAGTCAGTGAGCAATGTTATCTCTCACTACATAAGTAAAACATTTCCTTAATAGCTTCTTGTAAGAGTTCCAAAAACAGGTAACCCGTGTTCTCTCTTTAAACAGATATATATTTCCCCCTCCCCTTTTTTTAGGCTATGGGCTAGACAGCATACATGAATCTTCTGATCCCATAGAATCTGTAAGGAAATATGAAGCAATATTTATAGGTAAGTGTTTAGTTCCATCTCTTTCCACTTATGATTCATGTGGATTAATTATTGCAGTCACACTTCATACAGATACAGCAGGAAGGGGAATGAAGGATCTGACCCTGTTTAACACGGGTATTTGTTAGAAAAAATAAGAACACTGAAAATGCCTTCATATGCCACGCTCTGGCACCCATGCCAGGAGTTGCCTACTCTGGTCTAGTCCATTTTAGATTGCCCTGCACTAAGTGTTTGGGCTGCAAAAAGCCTGCTCTCCAATTCCATCTCTCTCCCCTTTGAAGATAATTCATTCACTTTTTTTTAAAACCCTATGATTTAGGCCTGAGCTACGCTACCATGCCTAGCAGCACGCTGCTTAGCTTGGTCTAGATATATAAACCAAAAATATGCAAAATACTAAACCAAAACAAAAAGGATAAAAATAAATCTCTTTAAAACTGTAGTGTCAGAACCAAGGGACCCCAGGCTATTATTTTTATTCATGACTCCACAGTGGCTTGTGCTCTCACAGAAATAAGACACTTGCCTAAGCTCCATTCCCTAAGCCAGGGGTTTCAAACTCTTCTGGCCCTGAGGGCTGGGTGATTGTTGTGGGGCTGGACCCACAGACTCTCTGCATTCTGGATCTGGAGTGGGTATCACATGTGGCACGGTCCTCTTCCAGTCACTGCAGGGCTGTGCTACACAACCTAAGAGTGACATGTGTTTGCTTTGGGGCTGTGCTGCACCCAGCAGCCGCTCCACCACTCCAGGATGCAAGCTGGAGCAGGCAGGGCTGTGGGGCACAGGACCAACTGCGCACCCTGCATGCTATCTTGTGGGTCACTTTTAAGACCTACAGGCAGCACCTGGGGGCTAGGTGGTACAGCTCTGGTAACAGGCTGGATCTTTGACACCCCTGCCCTAAACAAATTCTTGCTGAACACAGCTCTAGCCCTAGTTGTTTCAACTTATTTGTAACACTTCAAAAAAAAAAAAAAAAGATGAACAAGGCAAAGTCAAAGTTGTCTTTCAAAGGGTCTTGTCTACTTCTTATACAGACCTCAATAAACTTATAATAAAGAATGTCCATTGTAGTAAGCACAATGTCTGGGCTGGAATCTAGTTCTAGTAACAATACACTGGACCCAACAAACCAACTAAGCCATAATTTTAATAATAACAACTCTTCAGTGCACAGAATCCCTAGCAGTTAGGCTTTAGAGAAGTCTAACTCTTGCCCCCTTATTTGTCTTCAGGAAGATATTACTTTCTGAAGCCTGAGGGGACAGCCTGAGCTCTGGAATCCTCCTTTTTCTTTGACAAATCCTCCATTTCATCCAGTTGTTTGAAAAATACATTCTAATGAGACTTTAATTCCTTTATCAGAGTATTATTATTACGATCATGTTAAGAATCTATTACACACTTACATGTTAGAACAGCAGATTTGTTATGTGAGGGTAGTGTAAAGCTGAGAAGGGATCTCTAGGGCGTTAGCTGATTGACATTTGAGGTTGGCATTCTTTTAAAGCATCTGGCTTCCCTTACAGCTGAAACAATCTATAGGTGTCTGGCAGTTCTGCTGATGGTCTCAATTAAAGCAAGTGGAAAACACATCAAATAACATTGACTCTTTTCCTGCAGGGGGTGGAAACACATTTCGTCTCTTGAAAGCTCTTTATGACAACAGTTTGCTCCTGGAGATCAGGAAGAGAGTTCTTGAGGTAACTTGGCCACGTGACTTTCTCAGAGCCAGGTCTTAGTCTTATGGGCTGAGAATATCTAATCACTCTAGAGTAGTCTTTTAATTTGGGACTTCCCAAACTGGGCTGTCACCTCCTAGGGTGTAGGAGATTGTTTGTTAAAAAAGCCTTAAAAAATAACTGGACACACTGTTCCACATCCAACTTAAATTGTATGATGATAGGTCTCTTTTAACCCCCTGTTTTGTAGCCTGAGAAAACCAGCATGAAGCTCCTTTAAGACTAATAAAGACTGTAAATGTATGCAGCAGGCAGCTGGAGCCTTTGCCAACATAACAGCATTAGACTTTTACTCATATGTGCCTTGATACAGAATAGGACAAACTCCATCGGACAAGATTATATACAGCTTCCATACCTGGCACTTCCTGAAACATGGTATTGACTTGGGATACATGAAGTATTACCAAGAGCCAATAGCATTAATGGAGTTAATCACTTCTAGCCCAGCATGGCTGAGTGAGTCACATAGGGTAACCCTTAATTTAAAAGAATAGAAATAAGCTAGAATAACAATGCCAAAATGGGATAAATGCCACATGGCTTGTACTTAAAAATGCCCCCTGCCAGAAGTGAAAGCCTTCAGAGCTGCTCTAGTATTTAGAAAGCAAACATCCACTATTGAAAAAGCAAACCTAAGGATTTTTTTCTTCTAGAGATCCTTTGAAATAATTGGTAAGATTTAATTACGTAGCTTGGCAATGCCAACACTAAGCCTTTTCAGATACGTTGTGTATTATCTCTACAGTTTGCTCCACAACCCAGTAGCATAAGAAAGGGGAGAGGGGAGGAGGGTGTGCAAGGACACCAGTCCTGGGTGCTAACCTAGAGGGGGTGCCAGGATGGCCCCTCCACACAGGAGTCTTTGCCATGGCAGGCACAGCTCTGCTCGGCCTGGCCATAGGAACCAGGCAGATGCAGCCCCTACCCAGTAGAGTATCTGGAGGTTATGTGTGTGGAATGATGATTCTCTTTCCACCCCAGGAGCATTTGTCATGAGAGGCACAACCCTGTGTCTGGAGTGGTGGGGGGTGGAGTGAGCAGGGTACCAGGAGTAGCCCCAAGGAGCCCATTCCTCTGCTTGTCCCCCAGTGGCAGCAGCCAAAGCCTGCCATGGTACATCAACAGCTGCAGCTGTAGCAGCTGCTGCTCCAGTGACAAGAGTCAGGGCAAATAAGACTCCACTCCCCCTCCCCTGCCCAGGCACTGAAAGAGCTTGCTGCACCTTTGCCACAATCTTTGCATACACAGCATTGAAGAAAAATCTTATCATTACTTGTATGATAAGTGTTTCAAAGGGTAAAGTCTAAAACCAGGACCGATATCTAAAAGGGCTGTTACATGACCTGAGATGATGGGTTTTGATTAGTAATGTATCTAGTAACTGGAGAAGTTACATTCACCCCAGTGTGAAGAAGAGAGCTACTTAGAAAATGCACAGGATAAAAAAATTAATCTCATGCAGCATGGTATTTTATATGCTTTAAGGTGCACTTGACAAGTCTATTGAAGATGTGCCACAAAAGAGATTTGTGAGGAGACAGCATAACAGAACATCAACAAGCAGCCAAATATTTTCATGCTTTTTGGAGTGGTGGATTGCAGTCCACAGAGAAGGAGTTGAGGGAGTGGCACTTGAGAACAGTGATCTCATCAAGCAAATCCAGATAGTCTCATCTGAATGTTACCAGCACCATCAAGCTCCAATAGCTATGAAAAACTCCTGACAACCTGTGTAACGTGCACCTTAGACTAAGGCATTATTTTAAAAGACCTTTAACTTAATTCCAACCACTTTTACAGCTCTGATAGCATAAGTTCCCCTAAAACTATTTCTTTTCACCTCAGAAGAACTGCTTCATTTTAGTGTGAAAGTGCTAGCTTGACTTGTTCCAGAACTTTGTTTCTGCACCCCCCCAGCTGACACCTTCAAGCAGCCCATCTTGTGAATGCACTTAGTCAATCTTAGCTGATGTCTGGGCACAAACAACTGGTTTCTACCCTTCAGGGGTGAATTATAAGTGAATTATAAGTGTTCTCACCCTACAAAGCATAGAAACATTGAACAGGAAACAGATTTTATTGTCCTGATGCACAGAGAGATGTAGCATCATTTCCTTATTTCCTCTTGTCTTGGAGTCAGAAGGAAGTGAAGAGCCATTTGGAAACCAGAGTTGCAATTAGAACTTCAGGCCCAGCTATGGACTCAACCCAAAAGAAAGAGCTGCTTTTGATTTGACAAAACTGACTGAAATGCAAGAAAATGATAGATGTGGCCTGTGATAAGACTGCAGCTGATAATCAGAAACTCAATAGCCTTCAGCTATACAGATACTGCAGCCAGAAGTGACTGTAGCTTGACATAGAGACTTCCCAGCCAGCTTTAATCTAGCTAGCTCAACTATTGGCAGCAGTGTGACAGCATGGCACTCAGTATGGAGTAACTCACCCTGAGCAGCTAGTTTTTTAAACTTGCTCTCTTCACGAGGGTGAATTCACTCCTGTGACCATGGTACAGATATACCTTTTGAAGTAGTATAACTAGGGTGGGTAAGAGGGGCACCAAGTTAGGAGAGGTGCTAGAATTGCCTCTACCCCACCCATGCTGGAAACTCCAAAACAGTCCCTAGCTGCTGCTCTTGCTGCCACCACTTGAAGAGCAACAGCTGAGTAGGGCAGAGTATGTGGTGGCGGCACACTTCTCCCCACCATCTCTTGGAACTGTTTCTCTCTTCCCCTTCTGCTGCAGCACTTGGTCGGGGGCACCAACTCTACTTGTTATACCACAGAACTTTTGGCTGGCTGTCCCTCTCAAAAGAACATAATGTTATACAATTGTACTCCCATGTTTGTGAATCAACTATCTTAGGGTATGTCTGCGCGGTGGCAGCAGAGAGCTCTGTTATGCTGCTGAAGAAAGCCCTGCCTGTTTATTTCCTCTCCACATACATTAGGCCTAGTAATGAAGTGTTGAGGATGTCCTGGATGCGCTCTGAGTTGGCTGAAAACCCAAGTCTTGAGTACAGGATGCCCTTAAGGCTGGACCAAGTCTGACCTCATTTCTGGCAGACTTTTGCAGAGAAGGAGTGGGTGGATGGAGTTTATTGTCTCAGTGATGTGACTGAGTGCTGTGATGCAGTATAGCCATGAACTGATGGTTATTTTTTTAAACTAATATACAGCAACCAGTTATCTGTCAAATGACAATTTTCCCCCCTTCAGACTAGCACAGAACATTTCTCCAGCAAGAGGGACCTCCTTAGTACCTTGAATTGTGAATTTATTCTCTGTACTTTGGCATTGTTATAACTGTAACATTGACTTAGATTCTCAGTTGGCTTAAAATGGCGTAGCTACAGTGACATCAAGAGCTAGGCAAACTTGAGTCACGTGAGCCTGTGGCCTTTCTATTCCCCTAGGACTTTTGACCCTAAACACAGGGCATGGACTTCCCAAGGGGGTCACCAGCTCCAAAAGTTTAAGGAACACTACATTACAGAGAACAGAAACAAATGAACATTAAAGTGTTTTGGTGTCCCCAAGAGGGAAATGAAACGAATGCTGCCCTTACTGAGTGATGTTTTTTGAAGGCACAGGCAGAAGCTAGATAAAGTAGTTTTATTCCTGGCAGTAGGAGGTTGAGCATTGCCAAGTAGGCCTGTAATACCCTACAATTCTGGATGCAAGTTTAGATGTGCTTTAGTTCTAAATCACATCAACTCTGTATGTGTGTGTGTGTGTGTGTGTGTGTGCATTTACACATGCAACCTTGCAGGGAAGGCTAGGCTGAGTAATTTTGATGGCCCTTTCAGGATTAGTTTTCCTTCTCTTGTTCATCTGATGGGGGTTCTCAGATTTCATGTAAGCTTACACTATTCTAACCCAAGCTTCAGAGCTTCTGGTAGTTGCCAGCAAGGCCCAGAAAAGCTCATATTTGCGTTCTTTCCACCTTTCTCTGAAATTTCAAACAGCTGAGGTACACTGAGAAACTTCTCTGAGTGGTGGGTTTTGCCCATGCACATGGGATTCATATAAAGCCATATTTAGGACCAAGAAGGGATTTTCTAACAGGCCAGATTAGCAAGGATGGTTGGTAGGTGTAAAGGATAGGCATGTGAGTCTTGCTGGTGGGGCTGGAGTGGATATTCTTGTGGACTTGTTTCAACAAACATATGTCTGCTAGTGGTGGCAGGGATGACACACTGATACAATCCTATCTGTGCAAAACAAGTAAATCCTTTTAGACTTCGCTGCAAGTAGAAACAACCCAGTTAAATATCCTTGAAAAAAACTACTGTATGTTCTTTCTAGAATACTGCCTGTTTTCCCAGCAGCAAATTTTCAGGAAACTTCTACACCACGTTTTCTGCAGTGGCTAGTTAACATCTTGGCAACAAAGTTCTAAGTTTGTTGGCTGAATTCTGTTTCCAGCTTTGTCATGGACATTGAACAAGTCACTTCCACTGTTTTCCCCTCCCCTCTGATCTATAAAAATTGCATTAGAATGGGGTAGTGGCTGGAACTGACAATGTTGAGTCTTTTCAGCCAGAGATGAGAAATTGACAGGCTTCAATAATACATCCCTTTACAGTGTTCCTTTGTCTTTCAGGATGGAGTTCCGTACATGGGGTCCAGTGCAGGAACTAATGTAGCTACCATCAGCATAAACACAACCAATGACATGCCAATTGTGTACCCACCTTCCTTCCAGGCCCTGGGATTGGTTCCTTTTAACATCAACCCCCATTTCTTGGACCCAGATAAAAAAAGCACTCACATGGGTGTAAGTAAACTATTGTGCACTAGCTATGCAAGGGGATGAATAAAGGTGTGGTTAGAATGTATACATACTCTAACTTATAAGCACTAGCTGCTAGCTAGTCTCTTATTTTGGAGCTGTTTGAAATGTTAGCAAGTACGGAGAACTTAGTACAGTATTTTCTTCCTGAAACTCTGGAAAACCCTTTTGCTCTGCTCTGTCCAAGGCAGTCTTCTTGGATACCTCATGCAGACATTAATTTTGAAATCACCTCCATTAATATGTTTCTGTTTTGAGGGCAAGCACATTGAGTTGGAGCAGTCCCTAAACTGAATGATTTAATTGCTTACACTGGGGGAAGTCCCTCCAATTGAACTTTATGAATTCCCAAGTTTAAGCCATAGGTTGTTTGTTTAATCTACATTCCTTTAAGGCCTCTTCTCCAAGGGTAGTATTGGATATTTAAGGGGAAACCTAGGTCCAGTGGTCAAGAGTCTTGCCATGGACCCAAACAGAACCAAGTGCTTCAATGACAAACTTGAAGCTTGGCTCAAGAAGCAATTTGCCTGGGAACAATGCGTACCTCCTTCAGCGTGTGTAAAACTTGATCAAATTTTAAGTATTCTGTGACACTTTGCTAGTAGTCTTTAGATACTTACACAGTAACAGTTTATTTAAGCTGACACTCATTAGGTCCTTCCATTCCAGGAGACACGTGAGGAAAGGATTCGTCAATATCACGAGGAACCAAATACCCCTCCAGTACTGGTAAGTGATACTTGCTACTAGAGAGGTTCATATCTCCTGTATATATACCACCTTTACCCCCACTCTTCTGCCAACCATTCATCTAATTTTAGATGGATTTGTCTTTCTGGTTCTTTCCACTTTATAATAATGTGGACAATTTCCTTCCTCCTCACCCCTCCTGGCCTCAAAGTTTTTATAAGAGAGTTCAAAGGTTGAACTTAACCAGTTGTATGCCTCATTCAGCTTGCTGTGACCTTCCCTGATTCTGGTGCCATTAGGTTCATAAAGAGAACTGGTGGCAGAGTAGGAAGCTCCTCTTGAGTACCCCTTGCCCCCCCCCCCTTGATTTTCTAAGGAAAATCATTCCTTAGAAAGAGAAAGAGAGGTGAAAAGCTAACTCACTTATTGTCTACTAAAACTTATACATACCCAGTAAAAATGCATTGTAATGTCATGACAACCTACAGCTACATGGAAAATCAGCATTGTTGTTGCCTTTACTTACAGCCAATATGTCCCGTTTGGTGAATGGTTGTGCACTAACACAAGGGTTGACAACATATGGCGAACAGGCTCGATCTAGCCCATAGAACCACTAGATCTGACCTATGGAGCCACTTTTTCCCACCCCTGCCTTCCTGCTACCCAGATGCAGTATCGCGGCTGGAAGCTGCTTTTGTGCCACTGCCATTTCTCCTCATCCCACCTCCCTAGGGCTGCAGCATGGGCAGCTTCCAGCTGGTGGGCAGCTGGAGAGGCCAGGTAGCTTCCACCTGAGTCCATGCCACAGGTGAGTAGCAGGGGGAAGGAGACAGGTGTACAGAGAAGCAGCAGCATAGAGGCAGCTCCTAGCTGCCTGGCTCTGGCACAACTCCAGTCTGGCTGGAACCCATGTTCACATTCAGCTGGGGAGTAGGGGCTGAGAAGTGGCAGCTCCCAGCTGCCTGGCTGTGGCACGGACACAGGAAAACCTGTCTGCTGCTAATGCACGACTGAAGCTGGGTTGTTCCATCTCCTGGCTTGAAAAGGTTGCTGTCTTTCCATCCCCTGGGTTGAAAAGATTGCTGTTCTCTGCTCGTAACAGATTAATCTGGCTGCTGCATGGCACAAACTAGATTTGAGGTCAATTGCAGAAGAGATCCCAGGGACTACTTTCCTTCCCTTGTCCTTTGGGTGCTATGTGTGGTGCATTGTTGTGTATTTTAAAAAGCACAGTTAGGCTGATCGCCTAAAAGAGAAGTCACCTTCCTCTTAACACTATGTAGGACTCGTTTGCTTTGCCTTGTACCTTCATCTTAAAGGGAATCATCCGCAATAGGGTGCGGTGTTAGACTTGTCATCTGCAGATGTTTTGAGATCATCAAGACAAAACTATCGGGAAACTGTTTAAACAAACATTGGACTGCCAGAGATGAAGGATGCCACCTAAAATAACTCTAAAAGTAAATTGTCATTAAAGGTTTATTTTAAACATTCGAATCCAGTATAAAATCAACTCACCTGTTTTTTTAAATGTCACAACCAGCGTTTCTGCTTTTCTCCAATTAAGGGCTTGCGTGAAGGATCAATGTTACTAGTGGAAGGAGATAAAGTCACTCTGCAAGGAGTAACCGGAGCTAGACTGTTTTTAAGGTACTGGTTACATTCAACACTGTGCAACCTTTTTAAACTTGGATTGAATTCTGTTCTTCAGCCAGGAGAAAGTTAGTCATGATTTTAAGGCATGGACTGGGCCTCTGAGATCACAGTTCATTTGCCAGATCAAATTTTGTTGTATCCTATACTGCTGGGAAGTCTCTTACTTGCTCATCTCCGTTTCTCAGCTGTGACATAGGAATACTTCCTTACTTTCCAGGATTAAAGAAAATGGTGACAACATGGTGAAGGATTGTAAGAGATGACAACATTGTCTTTATCTAGGCAACTTTATAGGGTTGCCATTCTACTTGTCCTTGCTGGTTTATAGCATTCTCTGTTACTTATGACTACAGTTGTCTACTGGGATATAACAGCCTTATTGGCTAAGGTGTTGATTTCATAGTATGTTAATAAAAGGGATCAGTGCCATCAGATTTGAGTAAGTGCAAGACTGAGTCCTAATAGCCATGCATTTTTAGTCTTTAGTTTCATGAGTAGTACTATGGACCAATAAATAAATGTCTCTAAAACTAGCCAGTTACCTTCACTGGGCACTCACTGCTGCTTTTGACGTATGAAAATGTGTTTTCTTCTTTTATTAAGACTGGATCCTAAAAGTTCTCTGTTAGCAGTTAAAGAAGAAATGTAAGCTTATAGCACAATCTGTTTTGACTGCAGGGGTAAGCCACCAACTGAACATGAGCCTGGTACAG